ATCGTTTGTACACATGACACATAATACTGGTCTTTTTCATATCCACGAACCAAATTTCGATATATTTGCTCATCGGTATAATCAACCAAACATCGTAGTACGAGACATATAGGCACATAAGACATCATTTTCATTTGGGAGAACATCAACTTCGCAGTTCCGTTATTGAGGAAGTGTAATACATTGTTATAGGAAGTTTCGTCTTCGCGTACTGTACGCACCATTACGCCAATTTCACTAAAGTTAGCTCCACGATCTTTCCATGTGGAGCGTTTGACAGCAATCGGGTAGTTACGTCTGCTCATAAGTAACATCCGTATAATTCTCTCGTTTCCTTTGATAACAAATATTCCTCCCCATTCAGTATCGTGCTCCCCGTGTTTGACCATCTGCTCTGGTTTTAGTGAACCAAGATTGCATGCGCTCGACTTTAGCATAATAGGCACTTCCCCTAGTTCCACATCAATCGGAGCCTTCTTCAATCCATTAACCGTCCAGTTAACTCGCACCGTGCACATACCCATGTAGGAAGTGTGTAGTTGTCGTGACTCCGCAGGGTACGTCAACCGATTCTTTACATCTATTACAATTATCGGAACTTGAGGTCGTGCAATTTGGATACTTTCGACGCGAAGCTCAATTTGTTCTCCTGCAGGTGTCCTACAGCCAACTGGCGTCATGTACTTTGTGCAATTGGCCAAGCCATCGGAAAGCATTTCATTGAAGGAATCTAAATGCGGTGCTCCTAAATTTTCTAAATGCTATTAAGATAATAAGTAAATATTATGAAATCGAAGTCATAGAAAAAGCTTACCTCGTTAAGTTTTTCCGGATATGTTCTGAATTCAGGCCGGCTATTACTCAACGTAGGATATAGTTTCATTGTTCAATTAAAAAAATAAAAAGGGATAATCGAAACGCACGTTTTACTAGATTTTAGCCTTGAGTAGAAGTGGAATTAGGAAGGAGCGATACGATAGAACTGGAAAACTATCGATAGTATCGAAGGCTTTTGACTATCGAAAACATCGATGGTTTTGCAAGCTCTATCGATTGTTTTCACTCATTTACATTAATCAGAAATAGTAATACCATTTCTGACCGACAACGAAAACACCTTGAAAACGAGTTTTGGGATTGTGGGCTGAAGGCTGTTCAAACCGACTGTTGGTGTTTTCGTTGACATTCCTTTCATCCTTTGTTTACAGTTTTGCTACACAAAAACAAAACCAAAATACTTTTCCTTCAATTTCTTTTCATTAACAACCTTTTACTTCCATGCTTACTTTATTTTGGCCAGCCAATTAACAATAAATCCGAAATGACGTATTAAAATTTATAAAATAAGTCTTCCACTTCGATAAATAATCGAAAAAAAAACTAGTGCAGACACCGAATGGAATGAGTGGAACGTGAGTTTTCAAGTGGTTTTCCAGCGAAAACAAGTTTTCGTTTGACAGCTTTTACATGGACGAAAACACAAGTTTTAGGGCGAAAGCCAGTTTTACCAACGAAAACATGTTTTCGATGTCGATCAGAACATGGTATAAAGCCCAAAATACAATAGTGCAGTGACAATATGGCAGCGGCGGTTTCTCGAAATCAGCTGTTTTTTTGAAAGTGTGGTGTCCAAAGAAGCGACTAACGATACAGCAGTGGCAGGTGGCAGTACTGCTCAGTTTAGCCCAAGTTCTAAATTCATTATCACTGCCTTCATCGCAGCAAACTTCGCATGTTGAATTCGACATAAATTAAACGCAGCTAACTTCTGTTGACGTCACTGAAGCCTAAAAGGCCACAACACAAATGTAAACCAAAGGGAATGTCAAAAAAAGCAGTCACTGACAACGCCGTTTTGTGTTTGCTGCGGCAATGACTGCCAATATTAGCAGTAACAGCTGATTTTAAAAACTATCACTGCCACTGCGATTTGGCCTTAAAAGCCGGTGGTATCTGCTTCATCTTGTAAATCGGAAGGGAGGGTTGACTTCGCGAGACTGCACCACGCTTTGAACAAACTGACTTTATGGGGGCTACAGATGGGGTCGCACACATCACAAAACTGAAAACCGGACGGCGGGGAAACTCATAGTTTACAAGTAATTTGTTGTTAAAGTTGAAAATCTCACCTAACAAAATGTACGATAACAAACCATTTCAAAGAAATACAAGAGACACATGTCCCAATGTTATCAGTTAATTTACAGCAAATTTTGTACACAACTTTCGGTTGTTCAACTTTTGTTTTAAATATTAAGCATACAGAGCAATGTACCTACACAGATATAGTATTTTTGTATAAGTGTTTTAGGTACAAAAACTTAATGGCTAGGAAATAACAAGGAACAATTGATATATACATATATAAACATCCATGTATATAGATGTAGTAATTTCGTATAAAGTTCTGGTGTGTTAAAATTTAAATGGTAGACTTTTTGTAAACCTATCACCCTTGCGTACGCGGAACGTGTTCAAATGGAATCTTATACCGCCAAACTTTTCTCTCATCACAATATAAAATCTTGATTTAATCGTTAATGCAACCCTGGACTAAGCACACATACAAAAAATCACACTAAAATCACTCAAGACACGAATACGTGCTTAATTCAACAAAATCCCAAATTAACAAACAAATTAAAAATATGTTTAACACACTACTAAATCTGTCATCCACCTACACCTTATGATCAACCTGGCCATCTAATAGGGCTTTCGCACGCGGCGATTTTTCAGGCAACTTTTAGTTGAAAGCAAAAATCGCCTCGTCCGAATGGCCTTTCCACTTATCGCTTTCAACAAAGTTGGTCGCCAGCCATCTTTGAGCTCGTTCAACTTTTTTTCCTTGCAACCCTGTGTTTGTTTACATTCTGTATCAGTGTTGGGAAATGAAATTGTGCCTTCAGTACGAAATCTATACAAAAAATGTACTTTTCGACTATAAATTGTATACACTTTTTAATTCGCTCATATATTTTCTTAGTACATTCCCTTCAAGACCAATGATTTTATGGTATTCATGAGTGCCGTCCCTAAATTGGAGCGCTAAGCGTTGCGTTATCCATTGTCGACGAGTGTCAGCGCGCGCTATCCCCAAATCAACGCGTCGTAATTTTTGACATTTTCTCAGATCCTCTCGTTTTTATTCTCGTTTCCTCTTTCACTTTTTTGTCCTTTCTCTTTCTTTCCGTCTTCCGCACCCAACTTCAACACGTAACGCCCTGTCAAAAATGAAAATTCCATTTGCTCGGCGTTAGCGCCGCGTTATTGTGGGATGCTTCATACAAATTGTATGGGCATGAGAATTTTTGACAGTTGTTTGGCGCTTGACGCGCCAATTTAGGGATGGCAGTGAGAAAGTTTTATTGTTTATGTACATACGTTTACGTATTTTACACTTTTACAAATTGATTCCACGTGCACATGTACTGCATTTAACGCAAATATGTATGCACACATTTTCAGGTATACATCTTAACAAAAAGCATATTTAAGTTATTATTAATGGATAAAAGAAACATTTTCTTTGGATTCAGTACTAAAATTTGATATTTTAATAGCATTTCAAGTGCTTATCAAAATTTTACGAGAAGATTTGACCATTTATCTTAATATTATTCAATTTTAATTATTTTTGGTAAAAATACGGTTTATAATTTAAGAAAATCCGTACAAATCCAAGGTTCAAACTTTATGCAACATTAAAAAAACCAACACACTTTTGTAAAAATTTCGAGCTTTTTAATTCGATTTCCTAGATTTATTTTGAGTGTGCGGGTTAGCCCATTAAATTTCAATATAACTAAGTTTTTTAAGATTTCTTTGATGAAGGTGTTGCTAAGTTTCTCCATATAAAAAAATCGTCGAACACACTTCGTATGGACGAAAATGGCTGACATCGTCGACAAAAAAAATTGCCAAGTTCAACGGTAAGTCCCAGCTACTTTAAACTTGCACTTTATGATACTAAAATTGAATGGGCTAAAAACTAAAGAATATTAATAAAGCTCGACAATTTTACGAAAGTATGTTGGTTTTTGGATGTTTTGCAAAGATTTAATCTTGGGTTTATACAGTTTTTCTTAAAGAATACATTATATTTTATAAACAGATAATTAAAATTAAAGAATAATAAAATAAATAGTAAAACCTTGTCAATATGTGAGTGCCGTAAAGGTATTATATTTAAGAAAATCTCTTCTTATAACTAACGAAGATAGCAGGATAGCCGAGGAGAATTCCACTGAAATATATACTGACGAATCCAAAATGGACTGCGGTGTGGGTGCGGGGGTGTTATCTGAAACGCTGAATGTCTCTCTCTCGTTTCGACTACCTGACTTTGCTAGCATCTTCCAAGCGAAAGTACTGGGCATCGATAGGGCTTGTAAAGCACTAGAGAGGAACTGCGTAGGTACACGAAAAGCATAAAATTTTTCAGATAGCCAGCGGCACTTCTGGCTCTTGCGTCACCGGTAACAAAATCCAAAACAGTCAGAGATTGCAAATATGCGTTAAGCCTTCCCTTTCTGTGTGGTAAACCTGGGCCTGCCGCCCCAGTGATGTCTATTTTGATTACTGGCTGTTTTATAAAAATGTTTATATAAAAATGTATTGTGCAAATGAATATTTAACATTTTTCAAGCGAATAAACGCAAATAAAAATCGTGATTTTTGGCAATTTTTCTGAGGGGTCCCTAGGGAACCATAGGGGAGCTAGGTGGTCGGGGGTTGCATTTTTGTCAATGGCGGTTCATTCCTTCTCAAAAAAAGTTGGGTTAGAGGTGCTTCGCCCACTTACCTTTCGCCCAGCGCCCCTTTAACGAACGGCCATAAAGGAAAGCCAACCCGTTGATCGCTCATTCTCTTTTTCTCGCTGTTCGCAGTGTTCATCCAACTTGACGTTTCTCTTTGTCGAACATTCTGCCTATTTCTCGTCGTTCGCTTTGCGTTGCCGCAGTATTCGCCACAATAGTTTGGAAGAATTTAAGAATGAAACCCACCCGTAGACGAAATGTTTGTTGTTAAAAAGTGGCATCTCTAAGTTATGTGATAGGGCTGTGTATGATTTGTGGAAAAAGTTAAGTTTTACAATCTGTATAAAATGAAATTAGAGGCCAATAACTTATAAAAATTGTAAAACGTGTAACTGCATACAATCAGTAAAGTAATTGGAGTTAAAAATATAAAACTTGTAAAGTGTGCAGTCATTGAAAATGCTATTGACTCATGCTTAAGCACCATCAAAACCGTCTGTCGCAGGCGTCCCGAAGCAGAGTTGAAAATTTTATTTTTTCTTGCCCAATATTAAAGGGAGACCTTGTTAAGATAGAAAACGCGATTCGCTTTTTAATTACTTTATTCATTTGATCGAAAGTGTATACAAACCTCGATAATTTAATGATTAGCTCTTTAGTTCAATATGTACTATTTTTGTGAGACAAGCGATAAACATTTCAGGTCATTTTGCGACAAGAACTCTGTTGGCAACAAGATCATTAACACCTTAAAAAATTGTGGGGTTCAATAAAAACGTTCAAAAATCAATGTTGTTTTGCAGCAATCGAGATTAATATTGGAATAATTACATTTGTCTACAGAACAAATTGCATGCACTGAGGTACGTAAGGATTCTTTGAACAGTTTATTTTGAGCAATTGATTTATACAAATTGAATTTTGCAGGCACAGTTGTTTAAGGTAAAGTTGATGTAATTAGTATATTATTACGGGCCAGACAATTATACGCAATGATTATACAGGAGCCTGTTCAGGTAATTCACACGATCACATGTTAAGTTTTTCATACCTATGCATATTTTATGTAACTTCTTTAAATTGTAGGCCGCCATTTGGCATTGCTTGAATTTTTATGACTTCAAAGATGCTGTTTTCTTGTCCGAACGCCTGTGTTGTGAAGGTACATACATACATAGCATCCAACATAATACTTTTTTATTATACTACTTTTTATTTTGCAGTGGAAACGGATGAAACTATTTTCCTGCTCGCCACAAGTTACTATAGATCAAACCTAATACATCAAGCTTATTGGCTGCTTAAAGAAAAATCGCGTCGTTCGCCATATTGCAGATTTTTGCAAGCAAAATGTGCTTATCATTTAAAAAAATATGTAGAATCTGAGTGTGTATTGGTAAATGGTGGGTTCAGCGATATAAAAAATCTGGATGACATTGCGAAAGAATTTGAAGGAATAGCATGCTTCGTTCTGCAGTTAATTGCCAAAATTTGTGTGAAAACAGAAAGGAGTAAAATAGCAGCAGAAGCCCTTCGCCGAGCCATCAAACTAAACCCTTTTATGTGGCACACCTTTGCAGATCTTTGTCATATGGGTGAATATGTTGATCCTGCATCAACATTTCATATCACCAATACTGATGTCTTTAACACATGTCAAGGCAGTGCAAAATCAAACACGCTTGTTTTTTGCGGAAATACTGGGCAAAATATATCATTAAATGATAGCTGCAGCCAATATTTAAATAGCTTTGGCAGCAATATCCCGAATTCGGATATCTTAGTAAATAGTATGAATAACAGTTCAAATTACATATTATCAACACCAGTCGAACAACATTTGCAATCGCAACCACAGCCAAACATCATAACACTTCAAAGTCTTATTACCCCTAACAATAACAACAACTTGAATAATTCCATGTCCATGTTACGAGGTGCCAACACCATCGGTTTGGTAAGCGGTAACAATCTACAAAACTCTGGCTTAATGATGCTTGAAGATACACCAGTTAGTTATACTACTGGCAATAATATTGAACAAACTGGCTTGAATACAGCGCAAAATTTTGATACCGGAGCCGGTACGCCCTTTCACAGACAATTCAAATATCTCTCAGCCATTTCTCCTGCAACGCCGAGCTTTGGTATATTACCTATACACAGTCCTTCCGGTGGTGAATCATCCTTTGTTGGTACTGGTCATACACAAGCTAACATAAGTGTCCTGAATACACCTTCTCCACAAACTTTAATGGAAGCTAATCAGGAGCCAAAAATAATGGGGAAAAAGATGAAGAGTATTATAAGCCGAAGGGAAAGTGGCCCTGCTGCAAACAAGCCAGCTGTTTTTACACAAACGGGAAATGTTACTCCACGTATGCCCATTAATCAAGGCGGGGTTTCATCAGGTACGTTATATGTAAATTTTTTAGTTTGAATCATTAACCATTTCGATATTAAAATTTTAGGCTCATTGATACCCAATGCTGCTGTAAGGCGCAGCTCCCGATTGTTTAGTAATAGCGCATACTCTGTTAAAGAAAATAATAAGTCTCCAAATATTACGAGCAATAAGTTTGCACTGCCACGGTCTCCGCCCCGAAAAACAAAAACACGCATGCCAAAAATTGGTTTGAACAATGAACTCATCGAAGATAAGAGTATTAACATAAATGCAGACAAGTTGAACGAGAAAAATGCACGCAAGGAGAAGGAGAAGGTCGAGACAATAACGTCTGCGACTGGTCATAATCGTTCTATAGAAGACCCCAAAGTGTTATTAAATAACAGTTTAAATAACGCACAAACTATGGCACATCATGTACTGGCACTAAAGAAACAGTCAGCCGATGGATTAATGGCATTGCTACGAGAATTGGGTGAAGGCTTAAAATTGCTAACACTTTACCAATGTAAAGCAGCCATTAAACATCTAGAAACTAAAATACCAAAGCACCATCTGTGCTCTAGCTGGATTCAGTCACTTATTGGATTAGCTTATTATGAACTGCGAGAATATGAATCTGCTGTTTCTGTATTCAAAGATATACACGAAACGGAACCGCATCGTTTACAATACATGGAAATATATTCCTCGTCGCTTTGGCACTTGCAAAAGGAGGTGGACTTATCAGCTCTAGCACAAGATTTAATAAACCAGGATAAGACTTCTCCCGTTACTTGGTGTGTCGCCGGAAATTGCTTCTCTTTGCACAAGGAGCACGAGACGGCTATTAAGTTCTTCAAACGTGCCGTTCAGGTGGACCCTGATTTCGTTTACAGCTACACTCTGCTTGGTCATGAGCTCGTTCTTACGGAAGAGTTGGATAAGGCAGCAGATTATTTCCACGCCGCAGTAGCGCGAGACCCGCGACACTATAATGCGTGGTTTGGCATGGGCACCATATATTCGAAGCAAGAAAAGTACGAATTAGCTGAATTGTATTACATCAGGGCGTTAAAGATCAATCCTCAAAATTCGGTTATATTGGTACATATTGGAGCAATGCAATATTTTATGCAGAAAAAGGAACAAGCACTACAGACATTGAACACCGCCGCAATGTTGGATCCCAAAAATCCGTTGGCGCGTTTTCACCGTGGTTCTATTTATTTTTCACTGGGAAAGCATCAAGAAGCTCTGCGGGAACTAGAAGAACTAAAAGAAGTGGTGCCAAAGGAGTCAGTAGTATTTTATTTAATTGGAAAGATCCATAAAACTCTGGGTAATGTTGATTCAGCACTTATGCACTTCAGCTGGGCAACCGACCTCGATCCAAAGGGTGCTAACAACCAGCTAAGAGATGCATTTGACTCAGCAGTGGTCCCAATGTTTAGTCCCGCTAGAAATGAGCAGAGCGTGGACGCAGATCAAGAACCGATATCGGAGCATTCGGACGACTCAACGCAAGCACAGCAAGACATTAATTATGATAGTGATGCTTACTAAATTACAAGCTGCGGGAATGTTTTTCCACGTGTATGTATTAGTTCGAAAGTAATATATTCAAAGCAAAGGTGAAACCAAATAATTCGTTAATGCTGCGGAGTGTGTACTTGGCATTATTAGTGAGTTCACTTCTTCGGTTACTAATCGACAGCAAACAAATCCAAAAGATAGACGGAAATAAAATAAAAAATTTAATTCTGAATGGCATCCCTACTGAAAAATGATATGAAACAACAATTAAATTTCAACTTGCACTTGAGCACCCAGCAAGATACGTTGAAATTAATTATTTATATATACAGTCAGCTTCAAAAATATGAATACCCTGACGTTTTGACGATTTTAATTATATATATTTTCCATACCAAAATTTTCTTATTTTTTATAAAAATGTAGTTCATTCAGCAGCTTAATTAATTTCATATAGAACTCGGGGAAGAAATATAAAAAAATTCAATAAAAAACATATAGTGATATAGGGAAGAAAATGCGCAATGCCCTTGACAAAAAAGATCTCTAAAATCAATGGTAATTCTTGGAGACTTTAAATTTGCACCATATAATTATGGTGACCATCCGTCCTGTTTTTTTGCAGGACCGTACTGTTATTCAAAGGTCTGTCCTGCGTAGTTTTTCAAAACATAAAAACTTAAAATGTACTGATTTTTTCCCAGTGTCCTGCATTTGTCCCGCATTTTATTCGATACTTCAAAATTAACGGCGGAAGCACTATACTTATAAAAATAAAAGCAGTGTCGATAACTGATTGATAACTACATGAAGGTCCTGGATCCTGGAGGATCCTGATTTTGAAACTTCAACCAGTCAGTGCGTCTAAATTTTGCGCGGCCGCGAACAATGGATGGATGATATTTGGTACTTATCGGAGCTTTTCTTCAATAACTCATAAAAAAATCTCCCAATCAACGTAAGTTCGAAAGGTATTGATGTGCCCCTTACAAAAATATATAACTTGTGCCGATTTCAATGAAAATTATTAAAGCTACAAGCGACAAAGTCGAAACAAGTAAGATTTTCAATCAACTACACAGTTTTACTTGATTCTTTTTTCATTATTTTTAAAATTCGATGTATAGAAGATGTGTCAATACAGTCAATTTTAGGCCTAAAACCTATATTCACATTACAGCATAAATTCCTTTGTTACGATCAAATCACTTCACATAAATCAAGTAAGTTCACATTTTCTTTCATAATTTCTATAGCACGTGTATGGTATCGCATAACTTTGGACCACGTCAACTGATTTCGATAATTCTTTTTGCATCGGAAAGGTAGTGTTTCAGAGGTTTAGATCAGATCATTGGATCATGAAATATATATATTTTTTTATATGAGAATTGAAGTCGGTTTTTTGGCTAAAATTACTTGTTTTTTCTTCATTTGCTTATTGATTTATGATGAATTGTCTGATTTCTATTAAATTTATTAACAGATTTTACAAGGTGAAATTACTCATAAATTACAAATGAGCCATCTATTACGATAATGTGAACAAGCTTTAAAAGATAATGAAAATCGGATGAGAAATGTAGACACTATGTAACGCATTCTGCACAAATTATATATTTTTGTAAAGGGCACAAATACCTTTACGTCGATTTTTTACGAATAACAGCGAAAATACCAACAAAGCCGTTCATTGAAAAAATCCAGAAAACGTATCTTTGAAAAATGGGTTTTGTTTTCGAGTTAAACGACCCAAAGTTTGCCTATAAAATTATCTTTGCAGAGGTTCACTTTTCGTGTAAGCTAATGTAATTATAATATGTTTTATTATAATTTTATAAATATTCATTTAAGAAAAGATTAATACCAATGAAGAAAGTTTGACTTATGTTTAAAGTTTAAAATGGAATTAAGAAACATATACTATATACGTTTTTGTTATTTTTATTCTATGAAAAATTGTCCTGCATTTTCGATTCATATTTATGCTCACCGTACATATAATACTAAATTTGAATGGGTTACAAAATTGCATACAACCGAAATCGAATTAAAAAATAGAAAATTTTGATAAAGGTTTTTTATACTTCTTGAATTTTCTTTTGGGAAAATGCTACTCCCTGGGAGTTACTTATTGGAGGATTTCTTTCTCGGAAGAAATAAATTCCCGGAGGACAAACTCCCCGGGAGTATTAAGAATTGGGCTGTATATGAAATTAAAAAAAAAAAAAACAATATTCTGTTGTTGTAGCAGCATACAAGTTCCCCAAAGGGTGGGGTGGGGAGTGTTGCTGGAGTGACCGTCCTTGGCCAGATATAAATCTGGGTCGTTCCGGTTACGTAGACCCGACTGTCGTGGGAACGTGGGAAAAAAATATTCTGCTAGTTTTTGCTGTTAGATGAGCTATTTGGTATGGAAAATATAAATAAATAAAATCGTCAAAACGTCAGTGTATTCATATTTTGACGCTGAATGTATATAACCGGCAGATTTTTTAGTTGAAATACTTTTTTTTTATTTTTCTTTCAAATTGGTAGGATATGGGCTGCTTTTTTCGCGTTAAGTTCTTTAGCTACAAACGTTTAATTTTAAAAAATGTATTGTAAAGTGGTCAAGACCAATCGACTATTTGAAAATTTAAACGAGAAAGTTTTATTGACAACCGGAATCAACGATTGTATCTTTAATATTCAGCCTCATTGCGGGAGTCGTGCCGAATGCAAGTCGTTTTTCGAGAGTCGAATCGTATCGAAAATTTAGCGTCATTGCCTAAAATTTCCACTCGACTAGTGTATTAAAACGGAAGAACTTGGCAGCACTGCATAGTTTTCGACAATTTTCGTCGTTTACTTATTTCAGCACGACAGTAGACAATGCTAATGTTGTCGAGTCGTACAATTCAGCCTAATTTACGACTTACGCAATGAGGCTGATTATTAAAAACTAAAAATTCTTCAGTCCCCTACAATTTATTGAATTTAATTATCGCAACATACATAATATTATGCAATATTAGTATAGGTATGAAACATGTTTTGATCCTTTTAAAGAATTTGTAAATATGGCTAATTTACTATCTATCATTTAAAATATATTTTGTTTTTCGTGGTGAAAGATACCATTCTGAGCCGTTGCCGCTGGTGGGGCTTTTATCTTAGAGATATCAAAGCAAAGAAATATTACATAAATCAACTTACATGTTAATAAATAAGTCGTATTTTATTGTTATCAGCAGTCGGTAATCATTAGGTTTGTTCGTCGAGCAAAAAATTTTTACGAATTCGTACGAATTATCATAATTTTTACCCAAATTGCGTTCGTGCAGACCAAAAAATTATCCATCACTCAAAAACTGAGAGGGCACAGTGAAAGTTCTCCTGAGAGAAGTTGTAAATTCTTTCTGGAAAAATTTTAGCCAGCAAGAAATTGCAGTCACGAAAAACATATGATTGTGGCACATGGTTGAATTTTCGTCTACGATAATTTGAATAAATAAGTTCGTTAAATTTAAAAATTTATAAACATTTTTTATGAAGAAGGGAAGTAAATACTTGTTGATATAATTAATTTAGTTAAAATCAATGATTTGAACTTAACTCGGCTCAAAAAAATTGTATTCGCAATCGGATGCAAATGCAACCAGAGACGATTTAAGAAACCCGACAGCTAGTACGATAAAGAAATTGAAATGTATATTAAAGAAAGTCGGAACAACAAGAAATTACATGTATATCCTGTTTTTGTCTATCTGAGAGAATTAAAAAAAAATCTAAACATTTGAATTAAAAATTAAAAAAATTTATTATGTTTGAAATGCAACCAGCTGGCAGGGAAACTAGCAAATTCCTGCAAATTTGCGTTCGTGTAGAAATTTGCAAGTTTCTCATTATGAGATAGAATTTGAGACAATTTTTTCTTACTCTCTGATATTTCGGATTTTGAGTGTTGGATAATTCATGCTAGATTTTCGACGAACCTATTGCCATTTATGCCAGCTGGTGATCACGATCAGCTGCAAATGAAAGTCAAGGTAAGTTCTTTGAGGAATAAATAGCAAATGTACCAAACAATAAAAGATTATTTGCATTACTTAAATAAAAAATATAATATTTGGCGCCTACACTTTCAATAAGCGTTTGGCCGATCTTCTAGACTTTCTCTAATTTTAGAATTTGCTGGCACCTCTAAACACACCGCTAAAGCGGCCGTTAATAATGTTGTAGGGGCTATTTAAACCTGCCTAGAATGGAATAATCCTTCAATCGTTGTCGTCAAGTTTAATTAAAGGTAGGGGATAGGAAGTCTTAGTTGAGTTGGGTTGAGTAGTCATGTGAAGAGGTGGTTGTTGCCTTGAACAGTGCTTAGGTGGATGTTTCCCCACGATTTTAAAATGCTGGTTAGTCCCATTTTTCAAGATTGTAGTGTAAAATGACATTACCAGGAATATTGAAGCACTTTTCTCCTTTTTGTGCAAAACGGGCAACGGAATATTGATAAAAATTTTAAGTGTCTTACAACTTTTTAGCATTTTCAACACTTTTGTTCATGAAGTAACGCTTTTAACAGTAATAAAAAAATGCGTTGCCCATACACCATGTTGCACAAATATCCTTTTGTGAGATTTTGTACTAATAAAAAATTCATCATAGAAATGATCGTATACTGGGTTGGCTTTGGTATTTGGATTTAATTTTTAGTATTTTTTATAGTTTAGATGCATTTTAATTACTTACGTATATATATTTCAGATCCATGCGGATGGCATCCATCGGATACCGTAATAGGCATGATTAAGTTTAAGATAGTTATTCATTATTGTTCAGAAAAATACGCATATAAAATATGGTGACTTGAACGGATAATATGACGAAGTTTCACTTCAGCCGCGTATATGTGTTCAAATTTTTGAGAATAACGTACGATTGCCATATTATATACAGAAGTGTGTTTATTTCTTTAATTTTGGAAGCTTTTCAGTTATTATTTTTAGTCTAATAATATGAATTTTTCTTCGATATTTATAGTTGGACACTTCGTTGATACAGCTTCAGGCTGAAACGCAAAAGCTACTTTTTTCAATGTTTCAGTATCCAGTTTCATTATCTTCTCCACCAAATTAATTAAGTAATCATATTGAATATTTAACACATATGCTAAAGTTTGTAAGTGTAAAACTTGCATACGAAATATAACTTTATCCAATTTTAAAATATCTCGTATATCATCGCAGCCAAATACTTCTCGTAACGACTCCGGTAGGGAAAGTGTAGAAGTTGATGAATCAAAATCGAGAGTTTGTGTTAATTCTGGTGTAGGAAAATTGGTTTCTGGTAATACGTTCTTATTATAAACGGAAGCAGGTTTCCATTGTGATGTTGGATTATTTAATTTGTCATCAAAGTTTTGATTAGTGAAATGAGTGGGATAAATTGGAGGTAATAGAGAATATGTGTTTGATTGGATGCTCATTGTAGGAATTCCTTTATTGCAAGAATATAAAGATTTACTTTCCATCGGCCTAGCTGTTACTTCAGTTCGAATTAATGGGTCTCTTAATGGGTTCAAATAACTGTCGATAGATATGGTGGGAGCTTTTATTTCATTGTTCTCCGTGGCAGCAGCCAATGAACTTTTTCTTTGTCCAGGGGTTTTTTTCTGTGTTATGCGCTTTTTTCTTCCTTTACTAGCAGTTGATGCAACCGCCGCTGCTGATCGATGACTAAATAGTTATTAAAAAGTATAAAATAAAACATTTGTTTAATAAATAAGTTATAATTAAAGAATACCAACTAAAACATACATTTACAAGCAGGTTCTGCAATTCACTTACGAGTCAATTTCAATCTAATTCGCTTTGAATTCAAATTCGAAGAGGTCGAAGTTGACCCGGAAGTGATTGAACCTACCTGATAATAGGTTCGTTCGCGTAGCTGTTAATTGTTCATGTTTAACCAAAACTTACAAGTTTTTGCGTTCGCGTACGCAAAAAACTTGCAAAGTAGGGGAAATTGAGAGAGCAAAGTGACATTTCATTTTGAGGGGAAGCTGCTGGTTTCTGTTGGAAAAATTTTTGCCAACAGCAATTTGCCAACAGGAAAACAGCTGATCAAAAACAGCTGGTTGGCATTTACGCAAATCACAAAATTGAATTTGATGGTTTGGAAGTTAAAAATTACAAAATGCGACTAATTAAACTTGTAAGAAATAAGTAGTTATTTGTTTAATCAATAAACTGTGTCAGTATAACACTTTGCGATGGCTTTTCGTATGTTTTAAATTTTACACTTTTGAATGTAAACAAAAATTATATCAGCTGTTCGTCTAACTTGCAAGTTTCTGCAAATTTTCTGTTCGCGTACTATTTTGGATATTTCTCTCTTGTGAGCGAACAGATGACATTTCGCCGGAATTTGGCAGTTGGTTGGTTTCTGTTGGAGATTTTAAACGAACGCACCTAATTGCAGTTTGATATATTTGTAGATACATATGTATGGGTGCATTCCAAAATGTCAAAATACAAAGCATTAGTATCATTTATTCTCACCCTCGTTTTTGGTTCCTCTGTTTAGATATAGGATTATTTTTCTGTGTGTTTATTGGAATCGCCCCTACAATCCCTGTACTCACAAACTTATGACTTGTAATATCGTTAGATAACTCTGAGCTGTAAACCTTACCCACTGGTGTAGGTAATCGGTTAAATTTTGTCTCATTCGTGACACTTCCGTTATCTTCATTATCTCTTTGTATTTTAATATCCATATTAGCTTTATCATAACCGGGAGTGCTACCATACACAAGGTCAGTAGGTTTGTCAGTAATTTCTTTTTTCTTCATAAGACGTTGCGAGCGGCGCATATTTTTGCAGAATTTTGTTTTTTTTTTCACAGGAAGTTAAAATATTACGGGAAAAATTCACTTCCGTTATAACAATGAGGAAAATATTGTTCTTACACGGGGCTCTCACGCATCATACATAAAAAAGATATTCTGCCTTATTAAGCCCAAAATACAATAACGCAGTGGAAGTGGCAGCGACAGTTTTTTCGAAATCAGCTGTTTTTTTAGAAAGTGTGGTGTCCAATGAAGCGACTCACAATACAGCAGTGGCAGCTAGCAGTACTGCTCCTCAGTTTAGCCCAAATTCTAAATTCACTGTCACTGCCTTCATCGCAGCAAACTTCGCATGCTGAATTTAACATAAATGAAACGCAGCCAACATCTGTTGATGTCACTGAAGCCTAAAAGGCAACAAGAAAAATGTAAACAAACAAAAGGGAATGTCAAAAAAAAGCAGTCACTGACAACGTCGTATTGTGTTTGCTACAGCAGTGACTGCCAATATTAGCAGTAACAGCTGATTTTAAAAACTGTCACTGCCACTGCCACTCCGCTATTGTATTTTGGCCTTTAAGCCTGATATACAGTTCAATGCGAGCGTGAGCGTGAGCTTTTTATTTTGACCAATATCTTCATTATTACTAAAATTTTTGCTAAAATTGAGACATGAAAGGATAGAGAATTAAAATATCTTTCAGAATTATGTAATAAAAACTAATTTAAAATGCATAATATGCCTTTTTTCGAGGTCACACTCAACTTGTGCGCATGCAAAGCATTCGCATGTGAACGACAAGTTTTGGCAGATGTGTGTGAGCGTCCATAAGAATACAAATGGAATTTTTTGCCTTTGCGAACGTTCACGCTCACGCTCGCATTGAACTGTATGTCATGAACGAAAGACACAAGATCACGCCTTAAGGAAAGAAAGAAAAAAGTTATTTTCTAGCTGTTGAAATCTCGACGCCATCTTTGTTGTAAGAAGTAAACAACGAAGAGAACAAAAAAAACGCGTAATTGTTGAACGCATGAATAATCATTTTTATTATGCAAATTCTCCTATAAATCATGTCGTTGTGTTAAATTATTCTTTACCTTATGTGTGCACACGTTGTCACAAGCGAAAATTAAGAAAATTGCAGTAAAAAGCCACCACCAAATTGTAAACAACGAACAAATGTAAACAAACGGCTTATGTCAAAATCGCCCTACTTTTTTCATAAGTGCGATTATAACGGGCCACTCTTCTGCTGTCGTGATCTTGTCTTTTTGGTTCATGACTGTATATCAAGCTTAATGCAGCGATTTTGCTGCATTTAAAATGCAACATTTAGCACTTTCGAACATGTGTTTTAGAAGAGCGTTCATGCTATCGCATTTAGCAAATGTACTATGGCGAATACTGCGGCAACGCGAAGCGAACAACGAGAAATAGGCAGAATCAAGGCGTATTCAATAAGGTGGTATCGGTACGACAATAACAAAATGTACATGTGTGCAAAAACCTTACTGAAAAGGAAAAAGTAAATTTTAAACCAAAAATTCAATACAAAAACTTGAATTGTTTTAACCATAACCAAAAATTTGTTTGTGTATGTATTCATTTGTCGCTGCTGTCAATTAAAATTTCCTCACTTAATTAGGAAACAAAACAAACAGAGTTGATCAAAAATTGATCCAGATTTCTATCAGCATCACATCGATGTTGACTTTGCGTAACTTTTGTTTATCCAAATAATATAAAATAATAAATGAAATCTCGATCGGCGATCACTAAAACGCAGCTAGCCACTGTATACGCGAAAAAGCAATGTTGCCACTTTTTCTCATTAAACTATGTTCGAATCGTGGAGATGTTGGAATATCACAGGGTTGCTTTTTGCATTTAGAATCTTAATGCAAAAATGGAGTTGCATTTAGTTGACAAATTTTGTATGGATAAATGTAGAGTAGCATTTAGAGCTAAATGCGCTAAATGTGCTTTTACGCGTAAGCAAAAACAGGCCATAACATAAGTGCGCTATTAGAGGGTGTGAACCGGATGTTAGGTGACTTCAATGCGCACCACGAACTCTGGCACTCCAATCTGGGCAATGCCCGCTGAGCAAATTGACGACTCCAAGTTCTGCATTGTGAATGATGATGCCTCCACCAGGGTCGCGGGTGACTGATATAGCTCGCCAGATATAACAATAGCCAGCGGGGGTCTGATAAATTGCATTGGATGGCAACCAGTGCTCACGCTCACATCAGACCACCGGCCCATAGTAGTCGCGATTGACCAGCCGAGAGATTTTATAACATCCGAGAACCGTATTTTCATGTACACAAGGAAGGCAAACTGTGACGGTTTCACGGAATTCAAATCGCAAATTTAATGCTCTTCCACTACCATCATGCGCGCGCGTAACAGAGCGCAATATCCGCAGGATCATCAACGCAACAGCCGCTCGCTTCATACTAGCCGGCCGGATCGCCAAAATCCGCCCGGGCTTTCCAATTGAAGAGGCGGGACTCGCAGACGAGCGTAATAGAATCCGCCAGGCTAATCAAGGGGATCCCCGTATAAGAGATCTCAAGAGGGAAATTAGAAACCTGGTCAACGAATACAAGCGGAACACATGGAATGAGCATATAGAAACCTGCAATCTCACAAGCGGAGCCAGTAAACTGTGGTCCGCAGTCAAGTCTCTTTCCAATCCGACGAAGCGTAAGGACGATGTCGCTCTCACCTTCGGCACCACCACCACGTCGGATCCGCGGTCGTGCGCGCACTTCTTTAGACGACAATTCATTACACACCCATAGCGAGAAAAACCCGCCGCAGCGTGCTGCGTAAAGCACACAAACTCCGCACCCCAGACACACCACCGTGCTTTACCATCGAAGAGACGCAGGCAGCTGTCAACCACGCCAAGTCATCCAAGGCGTTAGGCCCAGACGGAATCTCCATGCAGATTCTGAAAAGGCTGGGACCTGCGGGAGTCGAGTACATGACCGCCGCTTTCAACTTGTCACTGTCCACCCTGATCATCCCCGAGATGTGGAAAATGAAAAGGATCATTCCCCTCTTTAAGCCAGGGAAGAAGGCGGACGCAGGAGACTCGTACAGACCCATCTCACTCCTATACCCAGTGGCAAAAACCGTGTAAGCCGAACACCAACGTGGATTTCGAAAAATGCACAGCACGACAACACCATTACCACACAGATTAGCGAGGGTCTGAAGCAACGTCGACCCTGTGATAGGACGGTCCTAGTCGCAGTGGACCTGTCCAAGTGCAAGCCGCGAAGAATTAAACATGTGGTCCCTCAAGGCGGCGTACTCTCCCCGACACTGTTTAATCTCTACATGACAAAACTCACTCCGCTGCCAGCAGGAGTAAACTTGGTAAGCTACGCTGATGACTGCACTATAATGGCAACTGGCCCAAAAATCCAGAGATTTTGCGATCAAATAACCGCCTATCTTACGGATCTTTCCGATCAAAATACTTTCTTACAATTGTTTATGCTTATCTTAGACTAAGGAATGTTAGCATTAGGATATACAGCTAGTATTAAGAAGTAGATGTAAGAAATTAAGGGTCAATAAATTTTGGCCGCTGTGGTGTAGTGGTAAGCAGTGCGCGCTTTCACTCATCAGCACCCGGGTTCAAGCCCTGGTCAAAGCAACATCGCAAAAAATATAGAAAAAGGGTTTTTCTTAACAGCGGTCGTCCCTCGGCAAGCAATGGCAAACCTCCGAGTGTATTTATGCCATGAAAAACAGCTTCTCATAAAAATACAACCGCCGTTCGGAGTCGGCGTTAAACTGTAGGTCCCCCCGTTTTGTGTGACAACATCAAGGCGCACACCACAAGTCGGTGGGGAAGCTCGGCCAAACACTAACATATGTGTAAGCGCCAATCTATTATTATTATTAAATTTTTAATTAAAATGGGAATGCTGACTAACCTTTTGATTTAGGAAAGCACATCACGGACTTTATAACAGGGCTGCCGATACTAGGGTGCGCCAGCAGCCACGGATGAGGGTGGGCCAGAACCAGGCCCCACAATACCAGCGGTGGTGCCTCATATTCGGCGATATTTTTGTTTTTTTGGTCATTGCTTTTCCTTATTGATTTTCGTAGTTGAGTTTTGTGTTCTTTTTCGGTCTATTTTAAATTTAAAATTTGAATTGTTGTGTGTGTTGGGATGTTTGACAAGGCATGACTTACCTCTGCTATGGCGCAGGGAACAGCGGTGAAGGCAAAACCCCAGCCCAGCTGACATGACTAGCCACAGTGAACCCCTTTTGTGTCATACCATGTGTACCATAACAATATTTGAATATATCTCCATCTCGCGACAAAATTATATGGTTACCCGGATTGGGCTATTTTTATTTTTTCAGATAAATTTTAATTTTTTTAATATAATTTAATGCGGATCAACTGCAGTTAATTCCCGAGATAATTCCGAATAAAGGTACGACCGCACTAGGCGACGCGACACGACACTACACAGCGCGGCAAAATATTCTTTGCATGGATTCTTATGGAGCATATACGCTGCAGCGGAGCTACGCGACGGGACGCGGCGCGGCAAAGTTGACCAACTAGGCAAAAATGTCGCGTCGCATGGTGCCGCATAGTGCGGTATACCCAGCGGAGCGACATAACATTTCGTACTATAATTTTAACTTAAAGAAATTGATTTCGAATTGTGCGTGAATATTCACATGCATTTCATTCAATAAGAAAATTGTATTTAAATAAAAATAGCATTTGAGGAGAATTCGTCAGGGAAAATAAAAATAAAAAGCACTAACATTACATCAGCGTCACTGGCATCCATCACGTTTGAAGGTTTTGACGCAAATAAATAAAACAAATTTGCAGCGAAGTGTCGCGACGCTGCAGTTTCAGTGCGATATACCAAAAAGTGTCGCGCCGTGTAGCGTAGTGCCGCTGCAGTGTCGCGTCGCTTAGTGCGGTCGTACGACCGTTGATTCGGAGGGTACGGTATAGTACGTTGCCGATCTATTTCGAGGTATTGCATCCAAAGGGGTGACCCGATCCAAAAGAACTTTCACACACTTGTAGCCAAGGGTCTACACATTATTTTAACACCCACTTTTGTAATTTGTGGTCACTAATTTATTTACAAATTGGGTTAGAAATATGCCTTTTTTGTAAAATTCGGAAATTAGCGTACGTTTATCACTCCTATTCTCCTTAAATCAGCCACTTCACCAATATATTTTTATATTCTCCTTCACTTTACACTTTACTCGATGTGTTATAACTTTCTTTATGACTTTAATATTAAACAATTAATCACAATTTATTAAATAAAAACACCTTCTAAATCATGCTATCATAAAATGAAAGGGCGGAGTTCAGCTCTCAAACTCCAAAATATGCAAAAGAATGAGAGACAAAAGAAAATAGGATATAACCCAGTAAGCATTAAAAATATACAAAGGTGTTCTCTGCAAAAGGTGTTCAGCTCCTTTTCTTCGCAAAACAAAAAAGGAGAATTCTACTGTCTGAGGGTTATAATCCCTAAGTGCTGCCGAAGGCCGCCTAAGCATAAAGGTGTTCAGCCCCCCTTCTTTCGCCTGATAACCACCTTGGGATAACTTTTATTTAAAAACCCCACACATTGCTAATTGGGTTATATTCCACTTCAAACTGCTCAATTTCCCTCGGTAAATGGTGTTTTTCACACATTTTCAAACGGTTTCCTAGGAGTCTGTGGGAGGCCCCGAAGGGGAGTGTGGCTTTTCGTAAAGTGGGGGATGTCCCCTTTCGCTGTCCGCCTCCTCCCCCCACCCCAAAAACGACCTGCAAATAACTAAACATTTCCCGATTCGGATCAACGCTGCCGTCTGTTTAAGCTTTAAGATAAAAAAAATTAGGGCATACATCAAGATAACCAACCGTTCAGCTATAGAGCCATACCTAAATAAGCGCGTCAAGCGTTGGGCCTGTCGGCCTCTCTTCTTCTAGCGCATATAAATTTAATGCGTCAGAGAGAGATAAAAATACAAGCGAAACGCTCAACGCGCTAATTTAGGTACGGCTCATAGAAATACTAAAAATGCAGATTGCTAGTACTTTTTACGCTGATTTTAACTATATAAATATTATTTGCCGCAATTAAAAAGTAAAGTAGATATAAAAGGTAAAACAAACAAATTTTGATATTTTAAAATATTAATATTTTCTAAATAAAATAAATCAAAATAAAGACAATTAATTTATCTTCAAGCTGATATATAAAACGTGTATGCTTTTTTATACATTTCTGCCAAAAATATTATAAAACAAAAAAATTTCATAATTTTTACATAAAATAACCTTTTTTTAGAAAAAGTCTATAATCAATACTAAAAACATTTATATTATTTAGAAAGTGCAAGTTTTTACCTTTAATTTTATATACATATTATATCATGATTTGCTTTTGAGCTTTCAGAATTCAGTGATAATAAAAAATATAAATGCATGTATGTGCAAATGCATATTGTAGTTAATTCAACGGGTTGGCTTTCCATTATGGCCGTTCGTTAAAGGGGCGGTGGCCGAAAGGTAAGTGGACGTGGCACCTCTAACCCACCTTTTTGGAGAGGGAATGAACCGCCATTGACAAAAATGCAACCCCCGACAACTTAGGTCCCCTATGGTTTCCTAGGAAAATGGCCAAAATTCACAATTTTCATTTACGGTTTTTTGCTTGAAAAATGTTAAATATTCATTTGCACAAGACATTTTTATATACAAGACATTTTTATAAAACACCTAGTAACCATAATAGACATCACTGCGGCGGTAGCCCCAGGTTTACCACACCGAAAAGGAATTTTAGTTACCTCATCCTTTCCCAAGGCTACATCACTGGGGCGGTAGCCCCTGTTGGTGCACACCAAAAGGAGAATTCTATTTGGTAAGGGTTATAATCCCTAAGTGCGGCCGAAGGCCGCCTACACAGAAAGGTGTTCAGCTCCGCTTTTTCGGCAATACAGAAAGGAGAATTCTACTTTGTAAGGGTTATGATCCCTAAGCGCGGCGAAGGCCGCCTACGCAGAAAGACGTTCTGGGCAAAAGAAACTATATCACCCACACTTGTAACTTGCTTGTAAATGCTTTTAATTTCTTTTATCACTGAATTCTTAAACCTCAAAAGTAGATCATAATAAAATATGTATACCGAATTAAAGGTAAGAACTTACACTTTCTAAATAATATATGTCTTTAGCATTGATTATGCACTTTTTTCTAAAAATAGTTATTTTATGAAAAACTAATAACATTTTATTTTTTTTTTTTTTATATTTTTGGCTTAAATAGATAAGCAAGCAAACACATTATATATATTAACTTAAAGATAGATTAATTGTCTTTATTTTGGTATTATTACTTTTTTAATCGCTTACGTAGTTTAGAAAATATTAATATTTTAAAATATCGCAAAAATTTTCTTTAACCTTTTATATCTTCTTTACTTTTTGATTGCGGCAAATAATAAGGGTATTCATCAAACCTTATAAATGCATTGTAAACCGTATAAACTTATAATTGTGTAAACCTTATAAATGAACTGTCAAAATTTGTATGGAAACTCGTTTACACATTTCTGATAAATTTATCCAGCGATTTCACTGAATAAACTTGATAAACTGAAGACAATGCAACTCTGTCGCAACTCTAGCTATGTTTTCTTAGGCAATAATCGGGATCCGCATACAAATTTTGCACGCAAATTCAACAACGATATGATCCTGATAGAGATCTGGTTCAATTATTATCCCGTCTGTTTGTTTTGTTTCACTGATAATTCGCAAAGTTTGGTAGCCGTGACAAATGAATTCATACACAAACAGACATTCTGCCATTGTTTCTTATAACTTGCTTCAAATAAATAGCCTTTATGTTATATGTACATTTATTTAAATAGATATCTCGTAAATATAATTTTTTCCAATTTAGTGAGGTAGTTTCTATAATTTCTTTATCCCCGTGCTAGTAGTATAAAGTTAGTGACACTGCGCTTTATAACCAAAGAAAACACGACTATTGTCGCATGTGTAAACGAAAAGAGAGTGTGGGTCGTTCATGTAACAGAGTGCATAAACTTATAAGATTATCTGCTTGATAAAGTTATCGGTTTAGATGAATACCACTAATATTTATATAGTTAAAATCAGCGTACAAAGCACTATCCGTCTGCATTTTTAGTTTTCCCATTGCTGAGCTGTTGGTTATCTTGATGTGTTCCCTGGCCTTATATTGGGATATCGATAATTTGAAAAATCGATAAGTATTTTACATTAATATTTCAATAAATCTTTGATACACGGGCAAACTAGCATACAGTATTTTAAACATGGGAGAAAGCGACGATAAACAAAATAATCCACATTTTCAGATAATTCGCGATCCGAACTTGGCAAAGAATCGAATTTTTGTGGGAAACCTGCCGACATGTACACGTGAAGAATTGGAAAGTATTTGTCATCCGTACGGAAAGGTGTTGGGATCTTTGGTTCAAAAAAATTTTGGCTTCGTTCAATTCGAGTCGGAAGAAGTGGCTAACAAAGTCGCATCATCACTATCCAGATCAATTTTCAAGGGAAATATAATAACTGTTAGAAACGCTGCGTCTAAGCATACTCCTAAGCGACAGGCTACTGATACTGCTGGAACTTCAAATATGAACGCTGGTCACTACAGTGGAGGAGATAATGTGACCGCTAATACCCCTTCAAACCTGAATCCAGATTACAATGATTGCGAAATTATTGTGATTGACCGACGCAATACGTAAGTAAATTTTTGATTTGAAGAAAATAAAATAAAAAAAATTTGATCTTGTATTAATTACAGGAAATATGCCGAGTACATTGAACAACGGCTTAAAGATATAAACTTAAGAGTGGACGTGTTGTTTCCAAATGAGGATGTGCCTCTCGGTAAAGTACTCATTAATATTTCCACTAGGGGGTGTTTATATGCCATATTGGTTACACCCCAACACGAAGAGCACAACAGCATAACAGTTAACATATTGTATGGCCAGCCTGCAGAGCACCGAAATATGCCGATGGAAGATGCAATACAGTTAATAGCAAAAGATTTTCGTCAAAAGATGGCTACTGATGCGTCCAAGAAAGCAGCATTTGTTCCAGCTTTAAATAAAGCTGTGCCTGTTGCGCCCATTGGTGTTCCATCGTTGAAAGATCGGCACCCTAATGCGATCCAAATACTAATTAATTTGCTTGCTGACAACATGCCACTTACAGTTCTTCAATATGATAAAATAATAAAATACCTTCAAGAGCGTCGTGACCTACAAGTAAAAATAGAGCTAGGGGATGCCGCTGATATAGCCACTAAAGTTCCCGATCCTGAAATCGAGTTACAGAAGAGGATCCTTGATATTATGAACAAACCGTCTGTGGCAGAAACGCATTACAAGCTATTGTACCCATCTTTGGAAGCCGTTAAATCAGACTACCGCGTAATGGAACTCCTAAAAGACGTTCGGGTTCAAAAAGCACTGGAATCTTTAATGGATTCTAATCTTGTCGGCACCGTAGAAAACTATATGAAGTTTTAGCTATAATCGTTTTATTAATATAACAGCTGCAAACTACGTAAATACATTTAAGTAATCTATATTTTATGGCCAAGATCGTTTTGCTTCATGCCCTTTATATTTGCCGCGATATTTTAAGCCCGTTACAAGGGTTGAATTTTTTGGGAATGCAGTTTGGCCATTGAACTTTACATCAGAGTCGGGATGAAAACGAACATATTCATGCTGTATGTGTAAATTCTCGGGAAGATCAGTTGCTTTAAGAGAATCATAGGGAACTGTAGTGTTTACAGGTGTGTTATAAAATTGGAGTACATCGCCTGAAAGAAACTTGTAACTATGTACTGACATCGGCAACTCATAAGCTTATCTCACCTATGCTTTGCAATTCGTGTATTCGAGAGTTTGGGACACAATATTGGAAGCTCTTAAAACAGGCATCCAAAAACGCATACTTTTCTTCCAAGTTTTCTAGTCTGTATTCATTCGCTGTAGATATTTTCAGGTTTGCACATATTTCACTTACTTTTTCAGCAACGTTGGTAACCGGTGTATACGGCTTATGCGATCTTAAAAATCTACAATCAATTGTTTAGCTTATTGAAGAAATATCGATTTCAAAAACATAGTTACCCTTTGGAAGCTAAAGACTTTCCCATATCAACCACATTGCGCTGTGCCTGCGGATACGACTTTCTTGAAGCAACATTGGCGTAAGTTTTGGCTCCCTGCCAATTTTAAAATTGCATAAATGTGAACATTTAATAGAGTTTAAAAATAAGCGTGTTCCTGGTACTTCAGGACTTGCGAGTTTTACAGGATTTTACACGAAATGCTGTTTTCGCCATTAATAAACCATATGTAATGTGTCGTAAGGGGATAGCTTCCTGTAAAATCATGAAGTACCTGAACCAGGCTTAATATTGTTATAGTATATTCTATCCAAGACTTACAGATTCCCTTAAAGTAAGCTGTAAACTTTTACGTAAACTCATTTTCGCACTTTTATTCTAATGTAAGGCATGCGCGAATCGATACGATATTCAATAGAGCTGGGGTATTATCGATAGTAATATCGATAGTATCCATAGTTGAAAACTGTCGCTGCTATCGATAGTTTTGAAAACTACCGATGTCGGTTTCAGCGAAACCTTTTTACATCTGTTAACATTACATTAATTTTTTATCCAAGAAAATTCACAGTACAGTAGGCAAAAAAAAAAAAATTGTTATTAGAATTTTAGCAAGTATAAGCTTACACTGAGTTATAGTAAAATTTAATAAGCTATAAAACAGCTTCCACAAAATTTTTATAGAAATTCGAATTAAGCTTGAAATTTTAATGATTTTCTAGTTTTTTATGTTTTGTACAACTTTTATAAAAAATTTGTAAACACTAAACAAATAATCACAACTGCTGAAAATGTTGTGGTGCTATTATTTTGACCAGTACTTTATTCGTTTTCTTAAAATATGGTAAAATGTTAATTTCCTTTGTCCGGATTTTGATATGCGATTTATTTTATTATTATAAGAAGTTTTTTTTTGATGCACCCAAATTTTAACAAATTTATATAATCTCTTTAATTTACAAAGTAATTTATAAAATTTTATTTTCAAGCAATTAAGCATTTTAATTCAATACCCCTCACGACGATAGTACTATCGCTACTATCGATGTTTTCAACTATCGTTTCGAAAACTATCGAGCGGCGGTACTATCGATAGTATCCCAACCCTAATATTCAAAACATCAATATCGCAGTAGAGAATTCGGAAACACATCGATTTTTTGCTTCGATGCATCGAAATTTTTCCACTCGATGTATAAAGCTTGGAACACATTGAAAACGACGGGCTACGGACCATGGCTATGAGCCAATTAGAACAGATCTGACCGTTTGAGAAACAGCCATTTGTAATAGCAATTGAGAAAAAAGTGTGTGACGTTCGTAATTTTTGAAGTTTGCTAGTTCTGTTTTGCTTCTTTCTTTATGTGCATTTTGTCGGTGGTTAAACACTACAAAAATAATAAATTGGTTAGCACAAACATGTGTTACAGAATTGCTTGCATATTTTTCTTCATGCTTCGTCTTCATATTCTTTAAAAATGACCGTTATATGGGCGGTAAGCGTGGTTATTGTCCGATTTTTCCAATTTTCAATACCATCTGTCCTACGCCAGAAAGAAGTGCACGCACCAAGTTTCGTTAAGATATCTGAATTTTCACTCAAGTTATCGTGTGCACAGACGGACAGACAGTCATCGCTTAATCGATTTCTCTTTTCATTCTGATCATTTATGTATACATTTGCCTATATCTATCTCGATTCGTTTTGCCTGTTACAAACAATCGTTATGTGAACAAAGTTATAATACCCTTGTGCACAAGTGCGCGCGGGTATAAAAAGGGTGGACTTCATGAGAGTGCACCCCGCTTTGAACCAAATGACTTTATGGGGGGTGTAGAGGGGGTCGTACACATCACAAAACTGAAAACCAGACGGCGAGTAAACTCATAGTTTACGAGTAACTTGTTAAAGTTGAAAATATCACCTAACAAAATGTACGTTAACAAAACAATTCAAACAAATGCAATGTGCAGAAAACACACATTTCAACTAAATTAAGCTCTTTGAACGTTTATCTATTTTATATTTTATTAATTTCATTATTTATCGATGAGGAACACGTTTATAAATAATTTGTTTATTTTCTATTAGACAACCGAAATAGTATGTATGGACAATGACCGAAACGAAGATGGCCGCATGTATGAGTAACGTGTTGCTAGAATACGTTTCGAAATGTGTTGCCAGATGTTCAAAGCTTAAGAATATTATAAAGGCGAATATAATAAGTGCTATTTTATTATGAGTTTAATAGCTATTATGAGTATTATGTGCGCAGATAATGTAATTTTTCATAATAATATTGATTGTATGATTTAAATATACATCATAATTATAAGATAGTCACTTTTATTGTTGGGAAGTTCTGCTCAAAAATACTTCTACTTCAGAAAGAGGACTCTACTTTGTGAAGGTTTACGGCTTGTTTTGGCCTATTAAAGGGCCATCGCTAATGCACGCTTAAGGCGATCAAGACAGTGACTTTCTTCTTTAAGCTGAATTGTTAAAAAAAAAAAAATTAAATAAAAATAAAACTAAAACAAAAACTAATTATTAAATTAATATGCCTTGCGTTTGTGGTCAAAGAGCCGAAAGAAGTGCTAAAGCAAAAGTGCAATGTGCCAAGTGCAATGACTTTTTTCATTTGGGATGTGTTGTTGTCCCGTCAGCCGATGTGGAGTTCCTACTTAGCTCGGTAAATCATTATTTTTCCTCCACCTGCCAGTGTAGATGAGAATGTTATATTAACAAACGATACTCACTCGTATACGACACCTTGCTTAATTCGGATCTTTGGCCAGCCGGAAGTAAAAGTTCGTCCTTTCAAGTTTTTTCAACAGCCGGTGAATGTGGAAGGAGGTACTTAAGTCCTATGCAGAAAGCAGTATTGCAGAATCGGCGAAAAACGTCTAAAAATATATTACCAAAATGTTTCTGGCCTTTGTACAAAATGTTCGGTGGTGCGCATGTTAACCACTCACTTAGATTATGATATTTATGTTTTAGTCGAATCATGGCTGAATGACAACTTTTTTGACAGTGAGGTATTCGATCCAAATATATTCGAAATTTTTCGTAAAGACCGAGACTCTGCTAAAACGGGATGTTCTAGAGGTGGTGGTGTGCTTATAGGTGTTCAACGCGGGCTTAGAGCGTCGTTGGTAACGCTCGCTAATACTGACTCTAATCTTGATCAGCTTTGTGTGTGTGTGCATGGCTCCTCTGTACTTCTATACATTTGTGCCTCATACGTTCCGCCAAACAGCCCTGATAGTCTTTACTTCGCACATACTGGTAATATTGTCTCGCTGGTCTTGGACACAATTGGAGATAACCATAATTACGTTTGTGGCGATCTTATCTTATGTCGTCTAAATTGGTCCTCAAAGCCTGATTCAGTTGACTTAAAGCCATCAAATGTGAACTCTTCAGCTGAGATCCTCGTCATTGATAGTTTGCTTAGTATAGGCTTACTTCAAATCAATAGTGTTTTTAATAAACTTAATAGGCTCTTGGATTTAGTGTTTATTACTACCAATGTAAACTTCACTGTATCGGAATCTATTGATCCAATCTCTCCAGCAGTAATACATCACGTCCCTCTCAACCTTGAGTTGGAATTCTAAAAATTTGCTACTCTACCAGATGATCTAAGAGCGAAGTTCAATTATAAAGCCTGTGATTTTTCTTCTTTAAACAATGATTTATTATACATAGATTGGACTGATATTTTCCGTGACAGTGATGTGGCTTCCTGTTTTCCAATATACATATTAATATACTTTATGTGGATAAATTTTGAGAAAAATCATTTAATAGAAAAAAATATATATTAGAAAAAAAAACATTTTTTACCAAAGAAGGGGGCTGAACACCCTTTGCAGAGAACACCTTTCTGCGTAGGCGGCCTTCGGCCGCACTTAGGGGTTATAACCTTCAGGCAGTAGAATTTTCCTTTCTGTGTTGCTAAAGAAGGGGGGCTGAACACCTTTTGCAGAGAACACCTTTATGCGTAGGCGGCCTTCGGCCGCACTTAAGGATTATAACCCTCAGGTAGTAGAATTCTCTTTTCTGTGTTGCCATCGAAAAGGGGCCGAACACCTTTTGTATAGAACACCTTTCTGCCTAGGCGGCCTTCGGCCGCACTTAGGAAATATAACCCTCACTACGTAGAACCAGGGTTCGTATTTGCACACACATGCTCTGCTCACACACACGCCAGAAACACATTCAACTTGTACTCACTGCTCATACACATGTGTGTGCATAAGTGGAAAACAAATCCTGCTCACAGAAAAGTGTGTGCTGTTTGTTATTAAGCACATGCACATGTGTGTGAGCCGATTTTTGTACAAANGATAGAAATCGAAGTGTATAAGTTTCTCTACGCAAAGCACACACATGTGCGTGTGCTTTATATTAATAAAAATAAAGTACACACATGTGCCCGTGCT